TTAAAGAAATAAAATTTAAATAACAAAAAAATTAAATATTTTACATATTATTTACATATTTAAATAATGAAATATTTAACATAACTAGTTTTTAAATAGTTAAATTAACGAAATTATGTAGTAATATTATAAATTATAATTTCATGGATTACTAAATTTAGTAAATAATTAATATTTTAAAATTTTAAATGACGGTATTAGTTAAATAATTAAATAATATTGTAAATAACTAATTTTTAAATACTTTAGATATCAAAATATTAATAACTGAATCATATCTTATATATTATTTTGAAAACAAAAGATAGATTAAATAACAAAATTATGTTATAACTTTAAAAAAATTATCAAAAGCACATAAGCAATTATACCTAGCAAGGCCCCATGCAATGCACAGGATGTGGTGCCCCTCCTTGTCCCTCGCCGCTATAGTCAAGACACTTTACCCCATCCCTGCCCCGTTCTCGATGGTAGGGCGGATTGGAGGCGAGGCACCCATTCCCTGTCAGGGATGGGGAATCCCCAAATTTTCCCCACTTGAGGCAATCACATAAAAATAATCTAATTTGGTGATATTTTACAAATACGATTATGGGAATTTGGGATATTTTAGGAATTGTATTATGACAATTTGGGGGTGTAGACACCCCATCTTTTGTGACCTTTAGACTTTCTACAACACTTCAAGCTTCAAGCATGCTTCAGTTAACCTCTTAGCCGACTTGGGGGTGTTTTTAGAATTTTACAAAAGTTGGGGCCTCATAAATCCAAAACCATATGTACATAGAACCCAAAAATCCAAATCCAACAATACCAAGATCACCCAAGTCTGACACCGTTTATCCCTTCATCTTAAGACCCAAATCTGGAACTAATTCCAACTGTCCAATTAGGATCATTTTGATCATGAACCTCATTTCACATCAAATCAGAAATACAAAACCATAGATACATAGAGCCCAAAATCCAAATCCAACCGCACCATGATCACCCAAATCCAACACCATTTACCCCTTCATCTTAACACCCAAAGCCAAAACCAATTTCAGTCATCTGGTTGGGATCATTTTGATCCTGAACCTCATTTCATATCAAATCAGAAATCTAATACTATAGGTAGGTAGAGCCCAAAACCTAAATCCAATGACACCAAGATCACCCAAATCCAGCACCGTTTTACCCCTTCATGTTAACATCCGAAGCTAGAACTGATTCTAATTATCCGATCAGAGTCATTTTGATTATGAACCTCATTTCATATCAAATTAAAAATCCAAGACTATAGGTACGTAGAAACCGATAATCCAAATCCAAACATACTAATATCACCCAAATCCAACATTGTTTACCCCTTCATCTTAAGACCCAAAACCGGAACCGATTCTGACCATCCAATCGAGGTCATTTTGATCTTGAACCTCATCTCAGATAAAATAAGAAATCCAAAACCATAGGTATATAGATCCTAAAAATCCAAATCCGACAACATCGAGATCACCCAAATCCGACACCATTTTTCCCTTAATCTCAAGACCTAAAGTCGAAACTGATTCCAATCATCTAATCGAGATCATTTTTTATCAGGAATCCTATGCCACATGAAATCTGAAATCCAACCTTGTAGATGGATGGGGCTTGAAATCCCAAGTCCAATGGTACCAAGATTGTCCAATTCCAAAACCGTTAGCCCTCCATCTTGAGACCCAAAGCTAGATTCGATCTGGACCCTCCGTTTGAAATCCCCTTCACAATAACTTCAAACCTAGGGCATCTGACGACCAAATCTTTCTCCTACCTTCTAGAATCATTTTAAAATTTAAAATTTGACCAGTTAAGGTGGCCCCAATTAATCAAGCCTATCACCTAAACTTGGAATGTCCAATTTACGTAAATTGGTAAAATTATCCACTTATTTTCTTGATTGATTGAGAGGATTTCTCTCAAAACTGTCTTGACAGCCCCTTCCCTTAATCATTCTCCCTCCAAAAGCCCTTTAAACCTTAGCCATTGATTTCCCTTGACTTCCTATCTCACCCCTCATTCTCTTATTAAAAATCTATAAATACCCCCTTCTTCTCACACAACACAAGGGCACACAAGCTAGCTTAGGGTGAGAACTCTACCCCATTAGCCTAGAGAATGCCCCATCACACTCCAAGCATCATTGACCTTCACTCGTCCATGGCCAAAACAACCCCTCCTCACTCTTCTTCATCCCCTAGCTTGAGAGATTATGTACATTATGTCAAAATCCTTCTCCTAAGCCATGCACAACATTGTCATAATTTTTTGCAGATCTAATATCTTCATAACCCCTCCTAGTCTCCTACGTGTCTTATGTGCCATGAATTTGTTTCCCACGACCCCAATACACTCTCCACTTCACCACAAGTTAGAGAACCAAGCATCCACCCTAGAACTGATCCTAGAGTTAGATGAAAGGAGTTAAATCTTGCTTGAAGCGTAATTACTATTGCAGAAAATTTGTAGGCAATCAACAACTTTCTCATACCATCGGCCAATATGTATCATATTGGGAACTTCCCAATACACCCCAACAGGGGGTGTATCAAGTTAGGCCATGGTTTAGAGGATAGCCAAGACTTAAACCGACCCCTTTGATTCGGTTTTAAAAAAATAAATAAAACATAAAAAAGCATCGATACAGTCCGATACGCCAGTAGGACGTATCGGCTTGTATCGATGTTTAGAACCTTGAATAAATGTTCAATTTTTTGATGTTTAGTGTAATTTACATTTATCATTGTAATTTAATAAATATTTTTTAATTTTTTTTAATAATTATTTATTCATAAAAGACATTACTAATTGGCATAATTTACTAATTTATATAAAATCAATAATTATAGTTAACAATTATCAAATAATTTAGGGAAACTCTTAACTAATAATCCATAATTTTTTAAATATATAATAATTAAAAATTAGGACATTATTCTATGAAAACATATTCTCCAAAACTATTTAAATAATAGTCCATTATTATTATTCAACAAAATAATTATTAAAAATTTTAGGAAAATTAAATTAGGAAATTAATCTACCAGAAATTATTTCATATTTATTTAAATAACAATCCATTATTATTATTTTAATAAAAAATTATGAAATAATTTAGGAAAAATATTAAATTTATCCACACCAATCTAGACCACTTGGTTGACTTGAACCATGCTTGGTTTTACATTAATTAACAACAAATGATTTACTTTTAATTAAAATTAATGTAATTTACCATAATTACATTAATTTACTATAATTACATCACATTGATTAATAGTAAATAATTTAGGCTTAAAAAGTAAATAATTTATCTTAATTCACATTAATTTATTGTTATTGAAAATTACTAATTTACTATACATTTTTGCTAATCAACAAAAATTTCAATAATTTTTGGAAATTATCATAAAATATTGTAATTTATTATTATTTAATTTACTATTAGTTACTTAGTCATAGAAAATTATTAGAACTGTATGGATGACAAATTTCCTTGTAAAATTAGGCCGTACCCTACCCCACCCTGAATGTGGCATGTTTTCTTGAATTTTAAATAAGGATGGGGAAGAAATAGGGTGGGGACAAAGGTAATATTTTTTCTCCAAATTAGGGACGAGGAAGGGATGGGGTTTGCATATATTTCCCCAAACCCGATGGTAAATTAGTAAAATATCCGTATATTTAATATTGATTTTTAAAATATTTCTAAGTTTTCCTCATGTTATTATAATCCCAGGATCTCACAATTCCATTTATAAAATACCCCCAAATTATCATAATTCAATTCCTAAAATACCCCAAAATTCCCATAATCCTGTTTGTAAAATATCCATAAATTAGATTATTTTTAGGTTGCTTGCCTCGGGATGAGGAAAATTTGGGGATTCCCTATTCCGACAAGGAATGGATGCCTTGCCTTGAACCCGTCTCACCATTGGGGACGGGACAGGGATGGGATAGTATCTTGACTATGGGGACGAGAGACAAGGAGGAGTGCCCATCCCATGCATCACACAGTGCCCTGCTAGTTAATACTAAATAATCTCAAAAGTGATTTTTAAAAAATAGGCTAATAGAAAAAATAATACCGAATAACAAAAAAAAGAATGATTTTTAGAAAATCACTGGTTTTAGTAATCACCGGATTTGGAAATATCAATGTGAAGAATCATCGTTGATTCCAAACATCACCTTAGGCTTCCGTAGTGATATCCTTCCAAGAGTCCAGCAGATCAATATATTCAATTGGGGGAGGGAGAACTAGCAAGCTGACCAGCTCTCAAGTTCCAGTAAATTGGGGTTTTTCTCCTTGGGGCCGGAGAGAAACGTTGGATAGGAATTCATAGGATAAGACCTCCTTTCCTTGGGCCTTGGGTGGCCGTAGATAACGGATCAATGTAATGTTATAGTTTGTGCTGTAATCCTCGTTACAAAAGATTCCAATCTGACGTTATGCACCAAAAGAATTTTTTGTTTTTTATTAGCAGCACCAAAAGAGTATAATCCATGGYATCTTCACTTGTCAACTGGATTTCCAGACGAGGGTGGCCACGAGCCGAGTTATTCATGAGTTGATCGTGAAAAGCTTGATTCGATTTTTTTTTTTTTAATCGAGTTTTGAGTCGAGTTTGAACTTAATTTATAGATTGAATTAATAAATGAAACGAGTTCGAGACTAAGTTCAAATATATATATAAAATAAAATTATAGAAAATAATATATATAATATAAAGTTTATAAATTTTAATTTTTTAAATAAAAAAAGTATTTTTATATATAATTTTTTTTATTTTTATAAAATATTTTTGCTTCGAACCTCGTACTATTCGACTCGGCTCGATACAAATCCACCCCACAGGATGGGTAAGGAACCTCAATAGTACTCGTATTGACTGACGGGTACCAACAAATCCCACCTTCCAACTTTCATATGCGCGCCAGCGCCACGATACAAGCCGCGTACGGCCAATACCGTGTGATGCAAGTGATAGCAGAGACAATGGAATAAGCTGTTGTGTTAGGCCGGTTGGCTGCTTCTGCTTCTCTCCTCTCTGGATCCGCTTGACCGGTTCTCTACTATATTTTCTTCACGTTAAAGCTTCTGGAACCCCCACCTCCATTCCCTTTACTTCGTTTCTCTGCATTTCGGGGAGTCAGGGAGAGAGAGAAAGAGGGAGAGAGAGGCAGAGATGTGGGTTTTCTACCTGATCTCGCTTCCTCTCACCACGGGCATGGTTATATTCACATTGAAATATTTCGCAGGCCCGTATGTTCCCCGATACGTCTTCTTCACCGTTGCCTATGCATGGTTCTGTTCTCTCTCTATCATTATCCTCGTCCCTGCCGACATTTGGACGGTACATGATCCTTCTCTTCCCCCGTTCTTTTTCTTATTTCATATTAGTTATCTTATAATTCGTTTGGTTTTCCAAATCTTCACCTAGATATGATTCTATTTCCTCCTCTCCCCTTAATTTTGACATGGTTGATTGGGTCTATGATACATATGTACGTTACTGTATCATGATAATTCGAAGCATGAACGACATGGAAGGGTAGTTGGGAAAATTTTGATTCTGAACTCTTCGGATTGAATAGTAATTTGTTGCCCTTTCACTGGATTGATTTGGTTATAGCTGAAAAAGGGTTCTGCGATTGGGAAGATTGGATTGGCAGATGCTGTTCTTGGAGATCTGTGATAAACTAGCTGCTATAATCGATTTTAGTGACTAAATGGGATTATTTGACCGAATTTGGTGCAAAGTTGTTTGTTTTTGGTGCTTGCTTTGAATACCAGAACAAATTGAATCGACCAAATAAACTGGGCAATGAATTAGGAAAAAAAGACAGGGGAAAGTGTATTCTGACATTCCTTTAAGCCATCATATAGCACTGGAAAAAAGTCCATATCGTGATTGTTGGGGGAGGCAGCTTAGGTTATCATCACTTCGAGAGAGAAATGATTTTCTCCCTACTCTAAAACCAGAAGTGATTCATTATTATGTTCTCTTCTTTTTATTTTAACCTCAAAATCGGAAAAAAGGGAGACAAACTAATTTAACTTGAACTGGAGGTTTCAACTTTCATATTGAATTTGAAATTTATTGCCTTGGCATGATCATGCCATTCAAAGAAATTCATCACATGATTCAGTAGTTTGTTTTTCTTGATCATTGATTGATCCACGATCAATTTTATTAATCACAAAATAAAATGAATCATTATGATGCATGGTGGTACTCCCTAATAGGATCACAACCCATTATATAACTCTGCAGCTCTCCTGTCTCCTTTTTAGTTTTTACAACATCCCTTATCCTTTAACCTACCTTTCTTATGTGGGCTTCCTATACAACTTAGCCTGTTCCACTCCCACCCTTGCAATAGAGTCAGTCAATAATTTGCTGATCTCCTGACCCACTTCAATGCGGTGTTCAAGATGCACACCAGAAATCTAGCTTATGGTGACTGAACTCTCATGGATATCCTAACCCACCCCTCAATCATGGAAGGGAATGCCGGGTTCTCTGTAAAGTCTTCAGATTTTATCTGCTACATTGACATCCTAGACATTGAGTTCAACCATTTATCCTTAGGGTTGGGACAATTATGTTCCAGAAAGAAGACTCTGAGACTAGTCTCAGTTACTATTTGTGAATTTTAATTTTGGATTAACCAGGCAAACAACAGTGGGAAATAAATTTCATTTAGGAGGAACATACACACACACACACACACTTTTATTTCATCATTTCTCTTCTATTTTTCTCTTTCCCCCATTTTTTCTACTTAGGTTGCAAAATGTCCGTGTTAAGCTTTTAAGGTAGAAAAAAGAAATTCCATTCTAATTTTATTTGCATGAATTAAACTCCCTCAGTATCCATCTATAAGAAACAGAGGAAACAGCTGCCAATTCCTGATTTCATTCAAACAGTGAGCAAATCTTCATGGTCCCACCTCATGGCTAGAAGCCCAACCAATCACATTTCTTGAATCACCTTCAACAAGCAAAGGCATTATTACATGGATAAATCTAGCGGTTCTTAACCCCACAAGGTGGGCTCTAACTTCAGCTTTAAAAAAGAGTTGTAGTTCTTTGATGCATTCTAGTCATGTTCAACACACTTGATAAGAAAAGGTGGCATGCTCTAGCTGTCACTTGTAGATACCCTTTACTTTTTTTTACTAAATTTTCTTCTTCTTCTTGTTTTTTTTTTTTTTTTTTTTTTT